GAACATTTGGCCTCGAGTATGGACCGTAGCTGTTAGAGATTACTTTAATATAATCAGATTCTAAATAAGTACATTAATCTGCAACAGATCTCTTTGAACAACTGGACTTTTTAAGTGAGTTCAGCTTTCTTCTTTTAGGCTTTTGGTAAAAAAAAAAACTAATGACCGACCTAATCCAGATGCAACACAATCGTGTCATTGTCCGTCAGTAAAATCTGAGCTAGACATGCAAAGCATATTTCATTTTTATATTTCATATTTCTACTTGTCCTGCAGCATGAAATAAGTGTTTATTAGAATAGTCACCAATTATCACTTCTGTTTAGTGAATCCAAACACTAAAGACATCTGGTGTTATACAGTACGTCAATACGTATTCACAGCCTTTTACTTCTCCACATTTTGTTATGTTACAGCCTTATTCCACATTTTATTAAATTAACCTCTGTCCTCAAAATTCTACACACAATACCCCATTATGACAATGTGATTTTGTTTTTTGGAGATTTTTGTACATTTATTAAAAATAGAAAACCAAGAAATCACATTTAGCAGCACGGCGGCGCAGTTGGTAGAGCTGCCGCCTCTCAGCGAGCGAGTTGCCCCATTTCAAATCCCGGTCCAGGGACCTTTCTGTGTGGAGTTAGCATGTTCTTTCTGTGCATGCATGGGTTTTCTCCGGTTTCCTCCCACAGACCAGAAACATGCATGTTAGACTGATTGGTAACTCTAAATTGTCCCTAGGTGTGAGTTCAGATCGTTTCCACTGATCATCCTTGAGATGTTTCTACAACTTAAATGGAGTCCACCCGTGGTAAATTAAGTTGATTGGACTTGACTTGGAAAGGCCCACACGTGTCTATATAAGGTCCCACAGTTGATGGTGCATGTCAGAGCACAAACACCAAGCATGACGTCAAAGGAGCTGTCTGTAGACCTCAGAGACAGGATTGTGTTGAGGCACAAATCTGGGGAAAGATGGAAAGATACAGAAACATTTCTGCTGCTTTGAAGGTCCCAATGAGCACAGTGGCCTCCATCATTTGTAAATAGAAGAGATTTGGAACCACCAGGACTCTTCCTAGAGCTGGCTGGCCTTCTAAGCTGAGCCATCAGGGGAGAAGGGTCTAAGTCAGGGAGGTGACCAAGAACCTGATGGTCACTCTGTCAGAGCTCCAGTGTTCCTCTGTGGAGAGAGGAGAAACTTCCAGAAGAACAACCATCTCTGCAGCAATCCACCAGTCAGGCCTGTATGGCAGAGTGGCCTGATGAAGACCACTCCTTAATAAAAGGCACATGGCCGCCCATCTGGAGTTTGCCAACAGGCACCTGGAGAGCTCTCAGACCATGTAAAAAAATTATCTGGTCTGATGAGAGAACGACCGAACTCTTTGGTGTGAATGCCAGGCGTGTCAATTCTCATCACCAGGCCAATACCATCCCTACAGTGAAGCATGGTGGTGGCAGTATCGTGCTATGGGGATGATTTTCAGCAGCAGGAACTGGCAGACTAGTCAGGATAGAGGGAAAGGTGAATGCAACAATGCACAAAGACATCCTGGATGAAAACCTGCTCCAGAGCGCTCTTGGCCTCAGACGGGGTGACGGTTCATTTTTCTGCAGGACAACGACCCAAAGCTCATGGCCAAGATCTCAAAGGAGTGGCTTCAGGACCACTCTGAATGTCCTGAAGGGGCCACGCCAGAGTTCAGATTTGAATCTGACTGAACATCTCTGAAGATATCTGAAAATGTCTGCACAGACGTCTCCCATCCAACCTGATGGAGCTTGAGAATAGGCCTGTCACGATAACAAATTTTGCTGGGCGATTAATTGTCTCAGAAATTATTATGATAAACAATAATATTGTTTGAAATTTGACAACAATTAGTAATTACTGTCAAATTTAAGAAGAAATGCTGGTTAATTTTTGTGTGTAGTAACTTTTTTTGACCACCCAATGGCAATATAAGACTTTGAACCGAAGGATGGATAGTGAGGGAGCGTGACATGACATGGGCTGTGTCTCGTTCCTGTTTTTCCTTTTTCAAAATGGCAAACGTTTGGTGTAGTTTGAGCTCTTTAGCATAGCATTTTTCACACAAAGCTTTTAATAAAAAATCTGTAAACAAATTCTCAGCTTCTTTTTGCAGAGAAAAACATATTTTTACACAAAGGCACGGGTTTCAACTATGAATTTTGGAGCTTTGACAAGACGGAGGTTTATTCCCGAGGTCGGTCGACCTGTTAGCGTAGCTCGTCGCTTAGCTTCTCAGCTTAGCTGCTTTTAATGATCCAAAAATGTAATTTTGGACGTTTAAAACAGATTTTAAAGAGAAAGGGAGGGATCATTGAAGAGCACCAGAGTTGAGCTTTTTGTCATCCAGTGTCTTCAGTAGAAAGAGAGAGACACGAAGAAACGATAAAGACGATAAATGAAAACAAGGTTGATAATTTTCATTTATCATGCAAATAATTGATTTATTGTTTATCGCGACAGGCCTACTTGAGAAGTACTGCAAAGAAGAATGGGACAAACTGCCTAAAGATCGGTGTGTTAAGCTTGTGGCCTCATATTCAAAAACACTTGAGGCTGTAATTGCTGCCAAAGGTGGATCACCATGTTTTCTATTTTTAATAAATTTACAAAAATCTGTAAAGCTAAGTTTTTCACATTGTCATGATGGGGCATTGTGTGCAGAATATTGAGGAAAGAGATTTATTTAATGCAATTTGGAGTAATGCTATAACATAATGTGGAGAAAGTGCTGTGAATACTTTCTGGACTTGGGCACAATAAAAACCACTGTCCTGTGGTTTTACACACATGGAGCCTGTTGTCGTGCCGCCCTCTCCCTGTCCAATCATCATGAAGAGATCCATGAAAAATGAAAGGCCTAGCGTTTCTTAAAGGAAATCGCCTGCCGCCTTTCATGCCAGAGTTTAAAACTAAGACCATCTCACCCTGAAGGGATGTTTGAAGCTCTCGGTCAAACCGTGTAAAGTGTGTTTTGAACGGTTTGGGCGCTGTGGCAGCCATCTTGATCAGTCACTGCTTGGAGTATGAGCGCTCAAAATCTGTACATCGGCTGTTACGACCATTTTTCTGTTTGACCTCAGCTCTTAAATAAATAACTCTTAGCTCGGTCAGTTTACAGACAGGGCCTATTAAACTACTTTTTGGTGTGGTAGTAACTGAGACTCATCCTTAACACACACCTTAAGCATTAACAGATCTCAAAATATGGCATGAAATATTGAACATGTTTTGGAAGGTTTAACTGAAATGGATTTAGTTTAAAACTTGATCCTGAAAGGCAGCAAAACATCCCTACAAGGAATGCCAGGCCATTAATTGCAATAACTGTTTACTGAATGGGTTTTTCATTGTTTGCTCTGAAATAATTTCCTTTACATCTTTGATTATGTACTCAAAAAAACGTTCAATACAAGAACAACTGGACTTTATTTGTAATAGAAGACGTTTCGCTCCTCGTCAGAGGAGCTTTCTCAATTCAAAGAGCTCTTTGTTCGAGAACGTTTTTTTAATTTATCATGTCCTGGATGACTGAGAATCTTCACCAGCATTTTGATTATGTACACAACATAAACTAACACTTTGGGTTCTGTTTTTTTTGTTGTTGTTTTTATTAAACTTTTATTTGTGCAGGTTAATCCCATTGAGCCTCGGGAACTCATTTACAAGAGGGACCTGATTTTAACAAAGAGTGATGACAACAGTGGATAGCATAGACAATCATAAAGGATGCATACAAATTGATTTTTTTTTTTTTGTTTAACAAGTGAAAATAAATTGGTATTTAAAAGAAAATGTAAAAAAACAAACAAACAAAAAAAAACTAGGTTGTAAGGTGATGTAAAAAAACCTAAAAACAGGAACAAAAAAGGTTGAATCATGTCATCTGGACTTCGTTTTTTTGAACGAAAAAACTAAGTCCAGATGACATGATTCAACCTTTTTTGTTGTTATATACCTGGATGACTGAGAAAACAAACTTTGTGTTTTTGAAACCATTAGTGAAAAGGCCAGACTTCAGGGGTATCTGAGGCAGGCTTGAAACACAAGAGTCAGGGTGGCTTGTGGGTAATACCAGATGTCTAGGCCTCAGACCGATGAAGCCTCTTGGATGAGGGGCGAAACGTTTCTTTTTAACAAAAAAACGAAGTCCAGATGACATGATTCAACCTTTTTTGTTGTTATATACCTGGATGACTGAGAAAACAAACTTTGTGTTTCTAAAAACAGGAGTTTTTGCCAGGAACTTAGCAGATGTTTGAAGCCACTTAGAGAGGTCATGGTCGAGAGCTTCAAATCTTTTCACAAGATATTCCAGGAAACAGGAGCAGAGGAGAAGGTCCCTTTGCCTAGTTCAGTCCTCAATGAGGGGACACTGCAGGTAATAATGTCCTGAGAGAGCGCATGCTGTTTATTGCATTTATGATTCAATACAAGAAAATAAACTAATTTAAAAGACAACAGATCATTGTAAAACTTGTTTACATAATGACTGTCCCCTGAGCAGTTCAGTTGAATAGTCCTGATGTAGAATGCTCCAACCATGGGAAACAATAACTTGTACCAAAACCAACAGCGCCCTCTGGTGGAAGAAACTTATGTATTCATACTTATGATGGTCCTCGTGCATGTGAACCATTAGTTCTGGTTCTGGCTGTCAGCAGCAAACTGGTTGGTCCACTATGCCAAGGAGCCTGCAGGGTTTCAGGCTGAATAAGTCTTCTGGATAAAAAGATGAAACATCTCATCTGTCCGGAGGACCTGATTTATTCCTTTAGTGTGCAGAGTATATCACTGCAGAGGAGCAACATTTAGTGAACACTTACTGCGATCAGAGAACGAAACCAAAAAGTAACTTGTACATCTGAATCACATCAACTCAAATCTGTCCTTCCCAGTCCAGCAAGTTACCAGTACTTCAAATTCATCTGGCACAAAGTCAGATATCACAGGTCAGTGGTGGCTTCAACTTATTTATTAATGAATAAAAATTGGACATGAAGACGTGCAGAATAAAAACCATCGTAACAAATTTACAACTCTAAAATATATTTATTTTACATTTGCTTTTCCTGCTGGAAAATGGCAAAGAAAAAAAGAACAGATGTGTCAAATAAAGGAAACAAAAACTAACAGCCTCTTTATGTGCAAACATTTTGATCTTTCCTGAACTTCTTATTTTTACATTTCCTTATGTAACCACTCCGCTGAACAATTTGCTTTTATAAATCAAAGCATTCACGTTTTGTCAGTGGTGATCAATCCTTTACATTGTAAATAACTTTATATCTTTACATAGAAAACCAGAAACACACGAGTAGGCCAGATGGATGGAGGGGTGCATGTGTGGGAGGGTCCATCAGGACCAGTCTGGGGCTGATGCTCCACACTTCTTACTGGGAATGCATTCATTCCTAGCTTGTTGACAAAAATAATAATAATTTAAAAAAATCACACTGGGCTTCTTCTTAATATATAAAAAAAAGGACCAATTTTGACAAGCAGCACAATACACTGCCAGAGAAATCAAATTTAAAGCAATACATTTATTTTTAGAAGTTGCTGTAGGTGTTTGGTCATTTCAAGTGGGTTACTAAACTGGTCTCACTGGGTGAAAAAAACTAAACAGCTAGAGGTTTGTTTTTTAATTAAATTTGAGTGATTTTATGGATTTAATGATCAAATTTAGGAAACGAATACGAAGCTATAAACTCAAATATGCAGGAGTGATAGATGCAACACTGCCCTGCAAATAAAGACCAAGTGTGGCGTGTTCTCTTCGTCACGGAGCTCACATGCAGCGTTCACATGTTAACGAGCCACAAGCTGAAAATAAGTGTTCACTTCCACATTCGTGGCTTTTCTTCGCTGCTCGTGTAAACACTAAACTGGTTTCAGAAGAAAACACGAGACATCACAACTCGGAGAACACGCCCAACTTGACTTTAGTCTGTGCAAACTGGAAGGTGACCATCAGCCCCAGAACTGGTCTGTTCAAGTGTGTCAGCGCCGGTGGCGACCGTGTCCTGAGTGTCCACTGCTGCCGTGGTGTTTACTCTTGTGACTACGCTCCCTCTCGTAGGACCGAGACCTCTCCCTTTCCCTCCTGTCCCGATGTCCACCGCCTCGCTCGTGTTTGTGTTTCTTCGAGGAGCCGTCGTAAGCGGCGCGGTCTCTGTCTCTCTCCCGGTCCCTCTCTCTGTCCACTTTGACGGGAGTGCGGGACCGTGAGCGCTTCCTCTTGTGCCCAGAACCTCCACCTCCGCTGTTACCGTGACGCCCACTAAGTTTGGACTCGCTGTTGTGGTGGCTTGATTTGGTCTTGAGGTGGGGGAGGAGGGGTGATGGCGGATGTCGTCGTGGCGATGGGCTGCGGCTGTGAGAGCGCGAGCGTGAACGCGAGCTGTACGTTCCTGAGCGGCTGCGTCTGCTGTTGTAACTGAGAGCACAAGAATAAAAAAGACAAAGTGTACTCAGCAACAACAAAGTGTTGTTTACAGAAAGCTAGACCAACACTGCTGCAACAGATTCTACGCAGACAAACATCGTCTGTGCATAATGGACACAAACTCACTGTCTGTGAGGGGAGCGGGATCTCGATCTGGATCGCGTTCTGGAACGAGAGCCACTTCCACTCCTGCTGTTCCTCCCAATCTTTACCTCCTTTCTTAGGCTGCAAGGTGCCAACATTGAAATCAGCATGAACAGAGTTAACACTCAGGTCTTCAGTGGACTCGACATGGATTAGTTTCTCACCCGTTATGTGGACTCTTGACCTGAGTGCGGTTTTCCGGCTCCTTCTTAACCAGTTTTACAGTCTGCTGGCTCGGGGACTTCTCTTCGACTTTGACCACATTTGGGGAGCAGGGTTTGGAGGAAGGAGAGAAGCCGCCGAGACAGGACAGCGCGGGGGTCCCGTCAGGGTTCAGGCCTTTGGCTTTTAACTTTGCATCTGCCAAGAACACTTTCCGTCGCTCCACCTCCTTCTCCAACTGCTCGTAGTTAGGCTGCAAGGAAAACAAACCATTGTAGCAAACTTCTCTTTTCACACTGATCGCGGACCTTTGATCATCATTTCAATAAAAACTTTAAAATTATTGAGAAAGTATTGGCTAGACCTGAAATTTATCGAGCAACATTTCATTAAATGCCCTCAAGTTATTAAAAGCACCAACAGCTTCTTAAAGAGCAGATGTTTCTACAACAAACTAAAAAAGGATCAGAGGCTTCATGACACAGACCACGCAGGTCAATGACAGAACAGGAAACAGTCCTGCTGAGTGAAACAGAATAAGACTATTGTGAGGTCCGTTTAGTGTAGAGGGGAACAGGCGTCCATTCTGGTGCAACGCTGCAGAAATTACAATACGACTCAGAACATGTTTTACCTTCTTCCTGGTGTAGAGTTTGAGTGTAGTGATGCAGATCTCTTTAATCTCCTCCTCACTGGCTCCAAACAGCAGGTACCAATGAGGTCTGGTTGGAAGAGGTAACTGGAAAAAGACGAGCACGCGAGGTTAAAAAGTCTGAAGTCGCCACAATAACTAGATTCATGTATGAAGGAACTACAACATGTTTCTAAACAGCACTGCGGGTACCTGCAGAGCGCGAGCAGCGAGGTATATGCAGGCACAGGCGATGGTTTCAGCTTGAAACCTCACAAACACGTTGGTACTCAGGCTGTCGTTCATGTAGTTCCTACGAGGACAAACAGAAGAGAGAGAAACAAAACATAGCATCGTCGCTACACAAACCAACCTTCAACAAGATTTAGAAATGAGCCGACCCAAACCATGACTTCACTGTGGATCAGTCATTTGAAACATTTACTTCTCGTACCAAATTCAGCTCAGGACATCTCAAGTACAAATGCCTGATTTTTAATCTTCACTTTGGATTATTTGCACATTACATTTGAGTAAAATCAGATACAATGAAGAGGTTTAAGACTTTCATTTGAAACGATTCATTCACCCTGCTCATGTAATGTTTTACATGACAGTGGTAAAACAGAAGTTTAACTTTGTCCGTTTCTCTCCGGGGCATCCATAGGAGTCACACAAAGCATAAAGACAATGGGATTTGGAAGGATAAATGACAACACACTAACTTATTGCAAAAACATCCAATGGTGGCTGACAGACATACCTTGTAATGTGAACATCATGCAAACTAAAATGTCTCATAATTATCTATAAAGCTGCTTCACGTTCAGATTTTTAGATCTGACAAAGCATGACATGTACAGAACATGCAAGGACTACTTTTAAGAAGTGAAGCATGATGATGATGCACATCTGGTCTAACATGGCCTGAGGAACAAGTATAACCATGTAGAATAGATTTAGGCAACCACACTGTCCCTGTGTGAACACAGCAATAAAACTGAAACAAATCAGCACACGGGCTGAAGAAGTTTTGTTTCACCTTGTGGCGTTAACTCTAAAACGATGAGCTGTGCCTCAGTACTCAGGCTTAGTGAAATCCCTGTGCTGCTCTGCAGTGTCAAAGGTCAAGAACAAAGATGGATGCATTTAGCACACAGAAGATGCTGACAAGACCAAACGGCTCGGGTTGTGAATGGCATGAACAGATGGTGGGAGACCAGCTATGTTTCCGACAAACATAGAAGTCTCTAAAGACAAAAGTGTATGATGAAAAACAATATAACAAATACTAAATGTAACTAATCTGAGTCAAATGATGCATCAAATGATAAAGTGAGTGTTCCTGGTGTGTAAAAGGTTTTGTCATTATAGCAACACGAGTCCATCATGTTGCCTTCATGTTACATGATGGTCCAGGTGGGTTTTACACAAATGATAAAACTCAATCCAGCTGGTCTTTAATCAGTTTTGTTTTTTAACGGGACTACAACACATGGCTGTTTTAATCTGATTCCTGCGAAGGCAAGACAGGTCCTTGGAGCCACAATCTGAGAAGAGGATCAGCCTGTAAGACAGACATGTCTGGACACCATGTCAGTGTGGGACAAGACAGTATTCTACTGATAAATAAAAGACAGGCAGATAACACTGGCCAAAAAGATATTTAAAAAAAAATGCTCTGGCTAAGTTTACTTCATTGCTAAATGTAAGTAAACTAGAATAAAACATTAATCTATCCATAGCTAAAACAAATGAGAATCTTTTATAGCAAGACCGAAAAATACAAATCCTTTTGGACCCCCAAGAGAAAACAAGATGATGCTGGCTGTTGGGAAAGGCTCGCCCGCCCCCTCCAGTGAATCTTGGCATTGGCTGTCAGGAGGGGCAGCCAACCAATAGGGGAGCTTCCTGAGGTCAGGTTGGAGGAGGCAGAGTTCAGAGGCTCTTTATGTGACTTACCAGCATGGACTACCCTTTAATCAAAGAGTAGAGAGAAAGGACAAAGTTAAACCAAGTTCTCTGGGCACCGCACAATAAACAGACTTTATAAGTTAGGGCAGACAAGGGACTGAAACAAGTAGCAGGGTTGCAATACAACTGATCCATCCTAATGTTCAAACAAATTAATAAAGACGCATATTCATCACAAAACAGCAGAAGGACTTAATTGGAGTGAAAGATGTCGCTGTCAGACCTGGGCAAAATGGTTGTTGAATGGGTTTCAAAGTGACTCTGTCCAACAGGAGCACTTGAGATCATTTGACTGACAAGTCTCGTGTCCTAAAGTGGGGCTGCTCCAAGTTCCTGGCAGGTATTTTTAGTGCTCTTCATAAAGTCAACCATTTGAAACTTGTTCAACTCCATCTTAAGCCCAGGTCTGGTGGCACTTGTTGAAGTTATGACAAGTTGCTGCTGTGGGGATGCTCTGTGAAGAACCATTAATGAACTTACCAGGCAGTCTGGACCAGCGTCTGGTTCTTTTCACATTCCAGGAATTGAAGGTACATAACTATGATCTGGAACGAGACATTGTTACACATTAACAATGGAAATAAAAATAAAAACACTCAAAAGTATAACCATCCATCTAAATATTATGCATCAGCTAAAGAGCAGATCTACCAACAACAGTTAGTACAATATGTAAGTAATGTGTTATTACACAATATGTAAACATTAACTCACCTTGTGTGGATGCTTGACATGAACACAGAAGCCCAACTCCTTCAAGATACGCCGTTCTGCTTTGATGACTTGATTTTTGGTATTTATGTAGTTCTGATCAAGTATCAGTGGAATTGGAGTCCTAGTTAAAAAAATAATACAAAAGGTTTCCCCTTTTCATTTTAGAATGGAAAAAAAGGAAAGTGCCCTTGTGAATTTTCGTACGTTTGTCATTTCTTTCCCCTTTCAACCAACTTGAAGCAACAAGTTGCACTGTGTGCCTGACAGTGTCGGGGTTGCTGACTCCTGTGGGTTCAGTGAAAGTCTGAGGAATCTGCAAATGACCCTGACTTGACTCAAAGCTTCAACAGAAATATCAACCCAAATAATTAAACAGGTCTTTGAAGGAAAAACACTTCAGTCCTCAAAACGGAACCAGGCTCCCAGGACAAATACGACTGCTGCTGCAACTGGACACGTGCTACACTGTGCTAAACAAGTCAAACTACACTATATTAATTTAAACAGAGAAAAAAGACACTGGCACACACAAATTATTAGTAAAATTTAGTTTAAATATACAAAAATAAAAAATTCTTGTGTTGACTACAAGTGTTTTAATCTAAACTCACTTTAGAATCAAACTCCACACGCTGTGCATCAGTCGGAACATTTCATGACACCCAGATTAAACCAAATCCAGAAATATCTACAGAAAGATTTTTACTTTTAAGTCGTTAAGCACACTTCAGTGCCAAACTATGTTTAATACATTAATCTGAGCTCCTAATGTCCCCAAGATAGTAGTTTAAGTGTTGTGTTTTCATTCAACTTTTACTAAAGCAGCAGAGTTCATTACTTTACCCTAAAATGAACAGAATTACACAAACCTTCATTAAAAATCCTTTCCTGTCAGAATCATTTCCAACAAAAAAAAAAAAAACTGAATTTAATGCAAAAAATACAACAAAGCAGCACAGCATACACTGGTGCTAAATAAAAAAACATTAAACTTAGATGTATCCTAAACAGCTAAATAATTCTTTAACCACGTGGATATTTCTGTGAAGGCTATGGGCAAGTGTGGATGAAGCAAGCTTTGCTTTTGATGCACAAATCAAAATGCGTGGTGAGAAGCAGTCAGAGAAGAAAGCTACGTTACCCCACAGTACGCTGATATACGGACAGATACCCAAAGCTTAAGACTGAACCACAGGAGTCCTCAAGGAGCCCCACAGGCCAAGGACCTTCGGCCAACCTGTCATCCCCGATCCCAGTACCCTGCGGTGGCTCAGACCACAGGTGTCTCCCGCAGGAGGGGGTGGGGTGGGCCTGGGGGGACGACAGACACCCCCCTCGCATCATGGTTGTCATGCCGACTGCTTCATCTTACGTACCATTCCACATCACCCAGGCTTTGGTAAATGTAGCTGGTCGCTGTTAGTTGGTTGCAAGGGGAAAAAAGAAGCCAAGTTAATGCCAAGATCTAAAACACAGACATAAAGACATGAGGCACACACAGTATGCATGCCTCATTTTTTTTTTTACTTAGCCATCATTTATTCTTTTGAAAGTTCGTTCATTTCAATCACTTCAAGAATAATGTCTCATTTGGTCAATTTACACTTTTGAAACTACCAATGAAGCTGGAACTGAAAAGTTTTCAAGTGGTTTAGAGTGCATGGATAAACACAAGGGCACTTTCACATTAAAGCGTAGATCAGTGCACGAACAGGGCAGTGGTGCAGATTTACTTATAAAGTAAATCCACAGATGAGTGAAAATAAACACCGATGCTTACTTTTTGCCTCTGAGCTGCCTCAGGTGATGAAAAACGTTGATGACGTCTCGTATTCGTCGCGGCGCTTCTTCAATCTTAGAGGCCAAGTTGATACAAGCCATAGCAACAATCTGAAAAACAACAAGACGGAGCAAAGTTTGAAGGAACAGTAAGAAAACTTGACACAGCATGTGAATAAAGAACATTAAGATGTCTTTTAAAAACTAACACGGCACAAGTGAAAACTAATTTAATACGTGCTCTAGATTTACAAGATTTTTCTTCTTCCTGCTCCCTCTTCACTCGTGCACAAGTGTTGTAAGAGCACGTGTTTGTAAACACATGATGAAGCGAGTGAATTAATTGATTTTTACTTATACTCTGCTGTTAATTTGCTTTATTTAATTAAAAATGCAAGTAGTACGTGACCAAGACACGATTCATTGTATTAATAAATGTACAAGTATAAATAAAGGTCTAATAACAATAATATTTTACGTAAACTGTGATAATTCATGCAGAGCAGTGAGCTAGTTCATCTGAAACAACATGGCTGCCGGGCAGCGACGTCACTCGAACGTTGCGCTGTCATTAGCAGCAGCTAGCTGCGGCTCTGTGGACGAACTTACCTCAAAACTGTGTTTGACGAAGGATTTGGAGTAGAAGAACCGATGGAACAGAACCTGCCCTGTCGCCATTGCGACCTGTCAAACGGAACACAAAGCACACAGTTACAAAAAAAAGCAGCTCTTATGTAAACCTTACACAATGAACCGCCGCCATTTTAGCTCCACCACGCCAGCGCCGGCAAACTGCTAACGAGGCCGTAACGAGTCGGGACACTTGCTGCTTGGTATTTTTGACAAGAGAAAAACAGCCACCGACGTGTGTGTCGTCAAACTCATAAAAAAAATGTTACCTGCGGCAAACGGAGAAGAATACCCGCCGACTGTATGATCTCACATCCGAGGATACGGAGGTCGGTTTCTGTGTTCAGGTCGAGGCCGTCGAGCATGGACGGTGTCGGAGACAACCTCTCCTCCGGTATTAGCGAGTTGTCTATCGTAAGGTACACTTCAGAGTAAACTTTGTCGCCGATGAGAATACCATCGTTGGTTGCGGAGGCATTAGAAGAGACAGATTGAGGACCTGCGGCCATGTTCAGCAGACACACAGCAGTTAGCAGCTACAGCTTCGACGGCTGAACCGGGAGATGGTGACAAAGCACGTTACGTCACTGCCGCGTGGAGGTGACGCAAGCGTGTGTGCACATCCGCGATGGTAAAGTAGTTTCGACAGATTTACGAACGTTTAGTGCTTTAATCTTCCGTGACTTGTTATTTCATCTTTGTTTCATGTTCTCACTCTATAAAGTTTAAATTATGCGAACACAATAAGATCGAACAAACGCTCTGCGGTCAATGCCGCATGCGCTCCTGAGGCTGCGAGTTCGAGCCTGGTTGCATTCAAGGACGCACTTTCATGAGAGTTCACTCGTTGTAGCAAAATCTGAAGTAAGGAGCAATCGAAAAAAAATGTCCTCCTTTTTTTGTTTGTTTTTTTAACATTGCCTTAAGGCATTAAGAGGAAAACAACTCACCGATAGTAGTTTCTGTTACGTATTTTACCGGAAAGTCCGGACTTCTCACTGCTTTCTCTAGAACATATCCATCCGCCAATTTAAAAACTAATAACAATAAAACCCAAATAGTGTACAAATAAAAAGCTGAAGAAAATAAACAATCAACAGTATGGTAAAACGTTTATTATGGAATTGACTTTATTCAGTTTATTACATAAAGTGAACACATACATTTGAACATCTCATCTGTTGTATAAATAACAACTTAAATACTGGCTTTTGGAAAACAGAAATTGGTTAAAAAAATTAGCAAACTTTTGTATTATTATTATTATTTTAAGAATGTTGATCTATCAAAGACACGTGAACACTGTTCAGAGAACACTGCGTTCAGTCACACAGCGTGACATCTCGAGCTTGAAGACCTTGCAGTAACTAGAAATGACCAGCAGGGGGCGGCAGAGCACCGCCAGTTCAGGAAAACTGGACAACAAAAAAGGAAACAAGCGTTAGGTATCCTGAGGTCAATGAGTTTGTTCTGTCATGAGTCAGGACTAACTGCATAATTGTACTAATTCTTCACGGACACATTTATAAAACTTAATCACAAAGATCGTTGTACTGTTAATTTACTTGTATGATGCACAAAACTGTGCCAAACATTTGAACTACCGCTACTTTCATCATACTTTGCTTGAAAGGAATAAGATTTACTTTATCTTTTTAGGTGATCTCGTCTAATAGTTCTTCTAAGTTAAAACTTTGATTTTCTTTTTTGTCCAGTTTTTATACCTGACCATGACAGAATGTCGTGCAGCGTGGCCTTAAAAATGAAGAAAGTGAACAAATATGGGACAAAATCTGTATCTTTAGAATAAAACATGCAAATAATGATCTGAATCATGCTGCTCCATCAGGAGTGGTGCACTATGGCTTTTGGTAGTAGTAAGTCATCCATCCATCCATCCATCCATCCATCCATCCATCCATCCA